ATTACTGATTATTTCCTAGGTGTCAGGCTTCAGGCTAAATGAATTGACATGTGCATTCCTTTACTAATAAGTTTTTGAGTCAGGGAATATCATGCCCATTTTACAGAGAAGAAACTACGTCTCAAAGAGATTATGTGGGTTGTTCATATCAAAAGGTGGCTGACTTGAGCCTTACAGAGGCTTGTATTGACCCTCTTTGCCTTTAGTGGTTAGGAGCCTTCCCAGGCAAATGGTTCCAGGAAAATTTTTGCATGAGCCTTGGCACATGTACCCATTGCCCAAACTCATTTGCCTCTTAAGTGTGCGTTTGTTCCTGAAGGATAATCTCCAGGACACTCACGGGCAGGATAGCTACACAATTTGCAGAGACATAGTGCAAAAAGTGCAGGGCTACTTGTTCAAAAATGATTAAGAATTTCAAGTATTATGGATAGAACATTAAACCAGGAGCAGGGTCCACCAGAGGGAAGGGCTCTGTGTGTCTGCACAGACACATGCCCATGGAGCCGGCTCTGACTGCAGAGAATGCAGTCAGATGGAATGGATTCTGGACAAGGCTGACTCTTGGGTTTCTGGTTGGGGAGCAGAGTGGGGCTTGGAAGTGTCCTCTGAGGGTGGCTTATCTCTGTCCCGAGGTCTCCTCTGTGTGGAAATCTAGACTCTTCCTACCAAGGATCTGCCTCCAATTATGCCCAGGATGGAGAGCACAGTGGGGGGGGGGGGGGGGGGGGGGGGGGGGAGGTAACTGATTCCAAAGTCCAGTCAAGATTTTGCCTGGAACAGTGGTTCTCAAATGCTGCTTTGTAAACCTGGTCTGGTTTGACGAAGTTTTCACTTCTCTGATGTAAAACAAAAGAAATAAGGACATGGCATGAAGTGTTTTGGTGTGTGTTTGCTTTTGTCTCTAAAGGTAAATTTATCCAATATAATGGACACTCTTCTACGATCATTTTTGTCTTCAGATTTGGGGACTAACATGTTCTCTCTGTCATAAAGAGAAGCTAATGATAGGTAGTTATTTTGACTCATCTTCACTCGCCGAATAAAAAGGTGGACACTCTAAGGCGCAATTCCAAATGTTTTGAGGAACATTTCACTGTTGCATGAAGTACAAAAGTCTGGGAGCCCATGGACCAGAAAGCAAAGAAAAGCAGAGTAGTATAGAGAAGAGCCCCAGGCTGTGAGTCACCCCTTAATCTTAGGAGACTCCTTTCTTTTGTTGGGGCCCTTATCCTTTGCTCTACACCGAGTCCTGGAGCACATGATAGCTTAGCCCCATTCTCCAAAAACTCTGACCCCATGGCCTCTCATTGCTAAATAACAGTGAGGATTTGGACTTACAGTCCCACTTGGTCCCATGTATCTTATTCATGGAGAAACACAGAGCGGACAACTTAAGGAAATCTGAAACAGAATAACCTCAAAGGCAACTCAACAGCTGTTCGATAGATGCTGAGGCGAGCCCATAATAAAATGTACTATGGCATGTCATAATGGTTGGAATACCAGTAAGAAAGTTCTATCTTAAGTTCCATTGACTTAGTCTCATTGTGTTTGCAAAACAGGCAGTGAACATCTGCTTATCAAAAAAAAATCCCTTTAGATTCCTTCCCTTATATTTTATTCTTTCAAAATTCCTTAGGATACATTTTACTTCGTCCATTAAGCCCACTGTGGCATTTTGAAAATGAGTTATTTTTTTAAATAATAACACGTTAAAGATTATGATAAAATGATTTGCCAATTTAGCATACAGCCTTAGTTGCTGCCCCGCCCATAACAAGCATTCAATCACTATTTGGTAAACAAATATATTTTAATAAAAGTATACTTGCATTTTGATTTTGTCACATTATAAGCATGACTAGTAAACTGCTTTCCTTTAAAAAAAAAACAAAAAACAAAAACACAAGCCAAACTTGCCAGAGAGAGGGTCTCTTGCATACCTACTGCACCGTCTACTTTGTTCTTCTGGAATCGTCAAAACAAACTTAACTGCTCTCAGGAACTCCGATCCAATATCACTGTCAAAATGTTTTACAACGATTTGGCCAAATGTTTGTGGAACAGCTGTGCTACTAGTCTGCCTGAGTCATTTTCCTTCTTTCCTTTTGGCCCAATCCTGTGATTCATCATTCTGCTTTTAGAATATTTGCCTATTTTTAAAACCAGTCAAAGAAGGCAGCCACTGTTTGAAAGTAAACACACCACGCATCAACTCAGGGCAGCTATGCAAGCAGCTTCACAAGCCCTGAAATTTCTGGCTGCAAGGGTGCTAGCTAAACCAGATGGCATCAGGCAGTGGAATACAGGACCGACTTTCAGACTTGGTTGTCTCCTTACATCTGTCTTTGGTTTTCTTATTTCCGTTGCCATTTCCTGCTTGAATTAATCCAACTTGAACCCGTTGTTTAACAAAAGTCTTATTTTTATTCTGCTCATCATTACGACGTCCATTACATGTTTCTATGCCAATTAATTAGACTTTGTTTTCAAACTCAAGAAATCCAGTCTGAAACGTTATCTGCAAAATTATCAGCATGGTTACATAGAAGCGCCATGGTTTAACTATAGATAATGACATAGATTTCTATAATACATTTTATTAATTCTGGGTCAGACCAGTATTTGCTATTTACTTGACCATAATAAAGCAATTGAATAGCTTTCTTCTTTTTTATGATTGAGCAGGAAGGAGTGTGACTTCACATGGAGGAAGGTGGATTAAATCCCAAGAAGCCTTGAGCTCCATTCCTGGCTGTCTTTTGGAATTCTAGAAGGCACTGTCTATTCTGGTACTTTATAGAAGTGGTTTCTCCTTCTAACGAGTGCCTGTTCATCTATGATTATTAGATGCCAAAGTATAATATGTTCCCATTGACCTGTGCCAAATTGCCCTGGCCTTGAACTCAATGCACTGACATAATCAAGATGTCTGGGTCTGGGTTATTGATATTTTATTGAAGTAAATTTAAGTGAACCTTAGACCAAAATCAATTTTAGAAACTATAGGTTTTACAATGAAGGCTACCTGTAAAGGATCCATAGCAACAAGTGAATATTTCTGTCTTTTGTCCAATGCTTTTCAGGTGAAGGGGTGTATTTAAAAAGCCACAGTATTTGTCAGAAGTCATTCTGAGTAGGAAGGGAGTACTCAAAATGGCCTGAGGATTGGGTGTCTTCTTGATTCAATCCTCTAGGCTGCAGCAAGTGTCTTGGGAGCATTTCTCCATTTCTACTTCCTCTGGGAAGCTGAATAGTGTTAAATGGGAGTATTATTATACTACACTTGACTAAAATATACCAGAGGCTGTTAACTGCTGTGACCCTTGAGGTGTTTGGCAGAGGCAAATACTGTCCTTGTTTGAATTATCTTTCTGGTAATTCTCTTTGATGCCTTCAAAGAACTGTAATGCCTGGAAGCCAGGAGCTTCATTTTGCTCTGGACTATGTTATCAGAGAGTAGGGAGAGAAGACTTGTTTCTGCATTGGGTATGGCCCATATCACTTGCTTTTGTCCAAACAGAACATCACATTTTGGGACACCTGGGTGGCTCAGTCGGTTAAGCGTCTGACTCTTGATATCACCTCAGGTCATGATCTCACAGTTCATGAGTTCAAGCCCCACGTTGGGCTCTGTGCTGATAGCTTGGAGCCTTCTTGGGATTCTCTCTCTCCCTCTCTCTCTGCTCTTCCCCCCCCCAAAAGAAACATTGAAAAAAGAAAACCAAAATAACAAATAGAACATCACATTTTTATAAACAAATTTGGTTATGGTAGTGAGATTATAAAAGCCATGATATTTCCTTTCTTTGTTATAATTTAAAACAGATTTGGCTTTTAAACTATTCTTTTTAATGTTTATTTTTGAGAGAGAGAGAGGCAGAGCACGAGAGGGGGAGGGGCAGAGAGAGAGAGAGAGAGAGAGAGAGAGAGAGAGACACAGAATCCGAAGCAGGCTCCAGGCTCTGAGCTGTCAGCACAGAGCCCGATGCGGGGCTCCAACTCACAAACTGTGAAATCATGATCTGAGCTGAAGTCGGACACTTAACTGACTGAGCCACCCAGGTGCCCTGATTTTTAAACTATTCTTAGTCTATGTTTCATTTTATTCTCATAGTCAGCTGCCCTGGGATAGGTGTTGTCAACATGGAGGGGATGGGAAATGAATGGCCCCACAGAGCCAGAGTCTGCCTGGAGACATGAGGTCCTGCTGACAAGGGACTGTCCTCAGGTGGCACGGCAGGGTCAGCAGTGTGTCCTTGAGGAGATTTGGGGCTGATTTGATTATTTGAGGCCAAACTCCTCTCAGGTTTCCTCTGATGCTTCTGAGACCATCTTTTGATCCGGCAACATCTACCTATTGTCAGACAGTCAGTTTAAGGCAGCTGAGGACAGAGCGGCCATGGCTCTCTTCGCTCACGCTCTCCCACATCCAGGCAGTGATCTGGGCCTCAGATGGGGACCACCACCTGGTGTGTTGAGAAGAAACGCTCTGACGGGGTTGCCGCCTGTTATCAACTGTAACCCAGAACGAGTCTCTGCTTAACTGCCTGGTGGTGGTGGCTTGTGGTAAAGACATCAAAGCTTGCCACCTCACAGAAGAACTTCTGTTTTTCACTAACACGTTCTTCTGTCCCATTGAGGTTGTCTTGGTCGCCTCATTAGCACCTTGTTAAAGCACTTTCCGGCATACCATGTAATCTGGCTTTGGCCAACATGAGAATACTGAAGGACAAACAACACTTCTTAATTGTAGAGCTACCAGACTGAACATTTGAGGATTCTGGTATTTGTTTGCAAAATGTTGGTCAGGCCAACTATGCTCTCCGTACTTCTGTTTGTACCAAAGGTGAGCAAAATTGTCTTCTGTCCTCTATCTGTCCCCACCGCAAGTGATGAAAATATACATCACACGAGTCTAAAGACGGTAAGAGCAGAACATCACCCGTGAGAGAAAGAGCTCTATAGTGAAGAATCATTTTATTTTTATGTTTTAGATGATACACCTCCTGAAGACTCCATTCCTCTGGTCTTTCCAGAATTAGACCAGCAGCTACAGGTAAGGATATTTCCAGAGTCTTTCTTTTTTCCTCCTTACTTTCACAAATTATAGTGAATGGACAAATGGCGTAATTGAGAAAAGACTGACTTAGAGACAGAGCGGGGAGCTTTCAAGTCATGAAGCCTTGCATTTCTAGAGCTCCAAAGTCTAAGTGAAATATCAGTGAAAGCAAGCTTCTAAAGAGCTTAAGGAGTTCTGGAGCCTGGGAACAGGGCTTGTACCTACTCTCCTTTGCTGAGGATGTCCCTGTGCCATTGCAGTGATGACCCATTTCGAATTGGTGATTTAGTGGTAAACTGTGCAGATGTTACTTGTTATGGGGCAGGGGAGTGGGGAAGACTTCAGAATAACCTTCCTTTGTCTCCTCCACCCCAACCCTTCTCCACTCTTCTGACAACCTTTTTAAAAAATTTTTTCTTTAACATTTATTCATTCTTGTGACACAGAGAGAGACAGAGTGCAAGCAGGCAAGGGACAGAGAGAGAGGGAGACACAGAACCTGAAGCAGGCTCCAGGTTCTGAGCTGTCAGCACAGAGTCTGATGCAGGGCTCAGGAACTGTGAGATCATGACCTGAGCCGAAGTCAGACGCTTAACGGACTGAGCCACCCAGGTGCCCCTGACAACTTTTAATAAAATATAATTGTTTTAAGTTAAACATTCTGAAAACTGTCTGGTTTGATCATGGAAAAAATATTTCGTGTGCATAGTTTATGGATGATCTATCAAAGGGATCCCATTTTAATACACCAGAATTATTTGAAGGGAATTAATTTGTAATACTTCAATTTTCTTTAGATGACATATGGTGATGCCAGGCAAAGATGGCTGTCTGCCTGAAATGTTTGGATACTGGCCTTGGGTCAAATGTTCTCTTGAGTGCCTCACTTTGCAGTTACATCTAGACAAACCTAATAGGGGTCTTGAATCCTGCACGTAGACATTTGCTTCATCTCTTACTTGTTTTTCTCTACGTATTGATTTTGAACGCCTTTAGGAGGGGTCTGCCACCCCCATTTCCCCCCAGGTGTGATGTTCCCCCTTCTCTTAACACCCAGCAGCTTTTCCCATTCGCGGGTGTGACTGGCATCCTGAAGTCATTTGCGTTTGGGAGCCCTGGTCCTGCACAGCCCTCGACAGAGGTGGGAAGAGCCGTCATGCAAACCCAACCGAAAGTCTTTTCCGTTGGCTCCGGTTCTTATCTCAGTCCCAGGGCCCTGAGTTAAAAACCCGGAAGTAGCCACGTCAGAAAGGAAGAGCTGGTCCTCCAGTACCGGAGTGATCTCTGAAAAAACAAGCCAGCACGACTCAGGTGTGACTAGGTGTGAGGAGTCCTCATTCTTACCTCTGCCACAGTCCTGGGCATTGTCACGGTGCTCCGGCAGAGAGCCCACTCCACAGAACAGTATCAGGTATACAGAGATTCCTGAAGATTGTCTCTACTGTCTCTAAAATTTCCTCGCAGGTATCAGCCATCTTGTCTCCTCCTTCTGCACCCCCCCGCCCCCCATGCAGGGTCTTTAACCCAGCTCTCCTGGTTCCTGATATCTAACCATATCCCCCAATATCACTTCTTTTCACCAGGGCAAACAACTCAGCTCTCTGTTTCTGTCTGGCATTTTCCACCACACACATCCCTTGCTTCCATTCTGTCCTCACAGGAGGGCTGTGTTTGTGCTGCTGGTGGGATGGTTGGGATTGTAAGATAATAACTAGATTTCTTCCCCCCAAGTCCTAGTTGGTTTTTTTTTTTTCTACTTCATTTTACTGTCACCTCAAAGCTATTTTATTATCATGGGAGTTACATAAAAATGAATAAACATGTTTTGGAAATAAAACGGTAAAAGCATATTCAGGTTCTGGTTCCTCCATCAAACTACGAATCATTAATTCTCCTTTTTTGTATTGACAAAAATTTTTTTTCCCCCTTTGGGAACATTAATGATCTTCCCTGGCTCACGGATCATTCTTCACAGGATTCATAGCACCCTTGGCAATTCTCCGGACAGTTTTTCTGTTAAAGCCTTGCAACATCCATTTGGATTTTATGGTTTTAATTCCATTTGACATATATTAGAAATTCAGTCTATTTAATTATCTTAGTCCAATGAGACTATTTCATGTTCATTGATGAAGTTAAGCAGGTGAGAGGCTGCTTTCTGGCTCCTGGGTTTTGATTCCCCACCCCCCCCCCCCCCCCCCCCCCCCCCCGCCCCATCCCAACCCTTAAAATATGGTATTATTTAAGCCTTCATGAATGGAGGGAATATTCTTAGCTTTATACCTAAAATCATTTAAGTAAGTGCTTGTTTGTTGGGTAAAGGGTATGACTGAGTTTGTTGTAAACATTTGCCGGTTTTCAAGCCATTTGGTTAGGGTCACCTCTGTCTGGGGCTGTTGCCTGCTACCTTTATTCTGTCTCCAGTGCATGAGTGACGAAAATACAAGACAGTGAGACTGGAGAGGGGAAAGTTCACACAGGAAATCACTCTTAAAGCAGATTCTTCTCTCCATGCTTAGCCTAGACATATAAATTTAAGCCATTCCGCAGCAGGAAGTCTCTGTGTTGAAAGCAATGAAAATGCTTTATGTACAAAAGGCACAATCCATTCTGCAGAGCAGGCCGACTTCACAGTCAGTGTCATGTGCTTTCATCACATGGTAATGGCTCTTGGAATTTTACCGACCATCATAGTCCTCTACGGTAGAATAAAGTTAGGTTACAAAGGCATATGAAGTGCCTTGTGGTTGTCACTATTTGCTTGAGGATAAACTGACTCTTGATTATCTCTCCAGGAGCCTTCAAAACTTGCCAAATGAAAACTAAATGATGCCAGGTGATTATTGCCGGCCCTGCTCTCTGCAGAGCCTCAGATTTAAATCCCGCCATGCATGTCGAGCATCGCTAGGCCAGTGATGCTTCCCCGCAAATAATCTCATCTGAGCCTTGCCAGGATTGTGTGAGCTATTATGTCTCCACTTTAGAGATGAGAAACCTGAGGTCAAATTTTGGTCTAAATGAATTTTCTATTTCTGACTAGATCTCGGATTCTGAGTCTAGGTAGCCTTCTTTCCCTTGCACCTTTTGTGAAACCTACGGACTGTTTAAATTACTTTGATAGGTAGAGGTTTTTTGTTCTGGTTTGCAAGGTTGCCATAGTGTGGTTATAGAACCTTGCAAAACCTGTTCTGACTTTCTGATATCCATTACACATTCTTGTGTTGTTTATAAAATGGAGCTATAAAGTCTCTATTTGGTAGATACTCTATCACCAGTTTGACCCCCTAGATTTTTCTGTTGCTTTGCCAAGAATGTGGACATGTTTGAGCATGTAATTCGTGTGGCTTCTATTTTCACAGAAGCCAAAAAAAGCCCTGTGCAAGAATAGCAGTGACAAACATTTCTCTTGATGTCTCTATTAATGCAAAATGTTGGGCAAGAGACTTTGGGGTAAGGTAGGTGTTAAAATGAACATCTCTTTATAATGTTCATTTGTGGGCCTTCAGCCTCAGCCCAGGGGCAATGGGTAGGTTGATTCTATTTTATGCAGATTCCTTTCCTGGAACTTGGTTTCTAAATTCTCTATGCCTAGTAGAGGCAGTATTTGGGCATAGCTGATGTAGCACAGCCAGTCCAAAGAAAGTCCACTTCTAAGAATGAATGAAAAATCACTACTTTTCTTTAGGCCTCAGTTTCCTTCTATTTGGAAAGGAGATAATGCCTGACCTCCTTCTTTATCCTGAAGGATGGTGTGAGTCAGCACCATATTTGTCTTAAAATTCAACCACGTTCTTATGCTTCGGAGATCGTCGTTTGACCTATAGATGATCCAAAGCTAAGCTGCAATGTGGTCTTAAGTGCACTGGAATGAAAATATGCTTTTATAATCGGGCAGGGAACATGTTAACCAGTACGTTGTAACAACTTCCTAATGGGACTCACAATGGCTGGAGCATGGGTATTGGCATTGGGTTGGCCTGAATTTGGATCTCAGCTCTACACCTACCAGTTTCGTGATTGATATTATTTACTCTCTCTAAACCTCACTTTTCTGAGGTGAAGAAAACTGCAAGGTGGAGACAGTGGTATCGATCTTACATTGTTATTGTGGGAATTAAATGTGACAATGAGGGGCGCCTGGGTGGCGCAGTCGGTTAAGCGTCTGACTTCAGCCAGGTCACGATCTCGCGGTCCGTGTGTTCGAGCCCCGTGTCAGGCTCTGGGCTGATGGCTCAGAGCCTGGAGCCTGTTTCCGATTCTGTGTCTCCCTCTCTCTCTGCCCCTCCCCCGTTCATGCTCTGTCTCTCTCTGTCCCAAAAATAAATAAACGTTGAAAAAAAAAAATAAATGTGAGAATGAGTAGATATAACACAGTGCTTGGCAAAATTATTGCTCACTTAATGTTAATCTTCTTCTCTGGTGAAATTGTTTTTTGGATGATATATTTAAGAATTAGCAATTTATCTTTATATGTATAACATGTTAAGAGAAACATCTCTTTGGATTTTTGAGTTAGGTTTAGAGGTTCTGATGCTCTCTCTTTTCCATTAAGCTAAGGTACTTGGAAAACAATATGACTTTTTTTTTTTAAGTCAAATTGAGCAATAGCTTCAATCCTCCTAAAGTCCTCCCATCTAATCTGAGAAGACAGTGACAGGTGTCTCTGTGGTACACACTGAACTTGCTTTTTCTCAGACAGAGTCTGGTGAGTCCAGAAACTGATGTCACCTCCACAAATAAACAATTTCCTAGCTTCAGTTGTGTGCCGTAAGATCTTGTTATCCGAGTAGTCTCTTCAGAAATTTCCTTTGGGTCTTGCATCAGTGTATTGCTTGATATCTTCGGAAAGACAGTGAGAGAAAACGGAGAAGTCTTAGCATTCCAGGATTCTGCTACACCGGTCTTGAACATCCATCTGGAAATGCAATTAAGAAATAATCCCATAGAAAACACTGAAAATGTCTGCATTTTCTCATACACATGTTGGAAAGTATGGT